TGGATGATCGTCAATAGTTGGCGAATTGATGCTGAGCTCACCTGCTTCTAGCTGTGCCACACCATTGACAACAATCCAGCTCTCTCCAACCAGATTCAAGACGATGAGACCTGGTGGTCCTATGGTTTGGACTCTTTGTCACCTTAAAAGGGAACTTGCAACATCTGCCATTTTCTTCGCTGTTTTCACTTTTGTCATCGCATGTTGTTTCTCAATGAGCTCCCCCTACACTCTGGGACGTGTATTCAAAACACGTCCGTAAAACAACTCACTTGCGCACCCTCCTCCCCTTCTACCGCTGCTGATGTGCCATTTTTTCGCCGGGCACTTTTTTGTGTGAAGCAATATCTACCGAGGTGGTAAACATTATAGCACTAACCGTTATTGAGGCGGCGTGTGCATTTAATGTGGAATTGCTGTAAAGCCGTTCGTGGTTTCTCGCGTCGTATCTCGCTTCCGCGTACTTCACTATTTCAATTTTACCGGACGTAAGTCAAAGTTGCAAGTTGGTTTCCCGCCTGGTCCGCTGAGCAGGGGTGGGGGTCACAATTTCACCGGAACAGGACATTTAACTATCCAAATGATTTCTAAACGGGTTTATTAAGCTGAAAAAGTTGCCAAGTTCCCCTTTAAGCCTATAGAGTCTCGATATAATCTCAGTTATATGAGCACAGGCAGGGTCCACTGACCTGGTCACTCTGCTGCTTGTTACGTTTCTGGATTTCTGATACAAGGTTAAGTTTGTACAGTGTATATACATAGTACATGCACATTTTTAGTTGAGGAATAAGTGGACAGATCTCTATCTGAAGTTCTACCTTTGCTCATAGCACTAGGTTTATAGGGTATAGAAATCTGTTTGCTTTGTGTTTTTACAAGCTGTATAGAGCAAGGATGTTGAACTGGGGCACTGTGACGGGGAACTGATGCTTCTGATGAGGCTGCAGTTCCTCCTGAACACCTCAGCCTCCCTGCAGAGATCAAAGAGCTGTCAGCCCCAGCGCACACACATCCACACATCCATCCAAATAAGCAGCATATAACTCTTGTTCCAGCAAGCAGTTAGTGAGAAAAGGTATGTACTAATCAGCTCAGGTCCGCAGTGAATTTAAGGAAGAGTCAACTATAAAACAAAATGACCTTGGGAGACAGTGAGAGGGAAGATGACAACAGCTGTAGTTTTGTTATTCATTAAAGAAAGTTACTTTGTCATTTTGATTTGCGCTCTACTTAACATAATACAAGCTGGATGCTGTAGTGCTACAACTTACTCTCTCTATGCTGCAGAGTGTCGGAGTGGTAATGATAATGCCTTCCTTTTACAGAGTCCAACATAGTCATTTATTATTCTTGTGGGAATAACTTTAGTAAAATAATACAACTCATTTACTGTTTCCTAGTGATATTGTTGTTGCTAAAATTACTTAATGATGCTTTTTTGAAATATTGTAATCATTGTGAAAAGTGATACATTGCACTGCCCATAGTAAACTCTTTAAACAGTATATACACTTATCTCTGTGTGTACAGTAGCCTATGTGCTTTTTTTCCTCTCAACTTAGCAGGACTCCTGAACACATTTTGGTGTTGCAGATAAAACCAGCGTTCTTTTAATTTCATAGCAGTAGGAGAACATTGCCGCATGAAATATGTAAGGAATCACTGTCAGAGAAAAGGCTGGTCTTGTAAGCCTGCACACTGAGACCACAGGGCTTAAACATCTTTGCATGTTTGCTTCGCTTTCTGCATTGAAAATGAGAGGAGATGAGGCAAATATTTAGGAGGACACATGGAGGTGTGAAAAGAGGAGGGAAGGAAATTAAGTAGAAAAGGGAATAGAAGATGAAAGAGATCAGGGAAGTATATAACTGGGAAGAGAAGGAAATGTAGAGAAGAGATGGTACAGTAGGGTGAAGCAGAAAAGATGGGAGAATATATATGTAGAAAATGTGGGGTAGAGAAATAAAGGAGATGGGAGTAAAGAATTCAAGGAGAAAAGGAAATATGCATCTGGAAATTGAGGAGAAAAGAAAGAGAGAGGATTCAAGAGAAGAAGGAAGGAGATTAACCAGAGCAGAGGACGTCCTCTCCTCATTTTTTGTGGTGTTTTTTGAGTAATGAGGCTGTTAATTAGTAGAGGCATGCATGGTTTATTAAATCAAAGTGTTTACAACTTTCACTGTCAACCAGATTCTTGCTGGTCTTTGCTGATGTTGCCATGGTAATTACCGTGTCATAAATGTGTTTCTGATTGATGGGCTAGCTCATAAAATTAATACATTAATCACTGGTCTGTAATTATTTTAAAAGTAATGTTTTTACCTGCTGAGTAATTAATTAAACTGTTCTTTGTGTGGCTGTCTTGTACTCTCAATTCTATTGTAAATGACAAAGAAACCACACCATGTAAAAGTAAATGACAGTGCTCGTCATGTTACCCAATGTGTCTTGTTTTGTCCAACTACCAAATCAATGCTATTTACAATGACACAAGGCAAAGAAAAGCCGCAGGTACTTGCTTAAAAAAGTATTTGTTCAGATGAATTGCTTATAATAGTTACAGATTAATTTTCTGTTGATCAAGTAATTATTCAGGTGACTAAATTGTTTAGGCCCTAAATATTTGATGACCCAAGTTTACAACTTCTACGACTGTCTTGGAAAAATATCTTTTCATCATAGAAAACCGTATATCTAGATGTATATCCTATGTTCAATGTTTTAAATTTAAATACGATTTAACAAAGTTTGAAATGTAGTTGTGTGATCTTTTGTTTTGCTGTCGAGTTAAGACAATCATGAAAAAACATCTCACGTAACGCTACCGCCATTGCTGAAGCGCTGCGTCTTTTTTTTGTGTGTGTGTCTCAGAAGGAACACAATGTAAAAACTGTTCAATTTCCAACACATAATACACAGAACGACACACCACCTCCACACTACAAATCTCATTAAAGCATTACACACAGTTGTGCCAGCAGCTTCCATCAAACCCTTCTGTGTGTGTGTGTGTGAGAAAGATACATGTAAAGTCTGTACTTAAACCATATGTATTCGCACTCATACAAAATAAGCATATTGTAGAATACTGGCTACATGGTAAACAAGGAATTATATTCAGCTAATTGTTGACTGCAATATCAGTACAGTAGTGACAAATGAAACATAATGTATGCATAATTGTGTTTGCATTTATTTACATACATTAGGAGCCATCATATTTGTTTGACAGGAATGTGACATGAAGTGGGAGAATGTAAGTCAGGCATTATTATTAATAACAGTCAATATTCTGTCATCAGCCCAAGTTCAATGTACAAACACAAAATAATAACAACAAAAATAATCTGTGAAAAGAACAAACAACAAAAACAAAGTTACACAAATTACCATGTATCGTAAGTAGCACATAGCACATGTTATATAATAAAACATTAGCATGGGGCAGCCTAGGGGTTAAGACACTACACAATCTCTGGTTCACATCTTGCCGGGGAACTTTGCTGAATTTCATTCCCTATCTCATTCACCCTTTCGTGTCTATTGTCTGCTATCTAATGAAGTAATAAAATGCCCCAAAACATTTATTTAAAAGAAAAACAGAAAAATAGCATTCATACAGAACAATACAGAAATGTTGAATTTATATTACATTACATTATACGTTACATTTATTATTATTATTATTATTATTATTATTATTTCTAATTAAATAATAGCTTGGTCAACAAAATATCCAATATAGAGTTTACAATAGTAGAATACTAAGAAAACCAGCAAATTTAAGAAGCTGGAACCAGATCATTTTAGCTGGTTCGGCTTTTGGCTTGAGCTGCAACGTAATTGTTGCCAACCCAAAATCATCGAATGAAAGGGTTGTACAGGGATGAATTAAAAGGGTGTGGCATGCAATAAAGGTTGGCCAGAGTCAAACGAGGGAAGTTGCAATTACATGCTAATGCTGCAGTAGGCTGCCAGAACACCCCAAAAAGATATGCAATCTCTCTAGCTTGAGCTTGTTTTAATCCATTCAGTGGGCACTGCTGGACATTTATGTATTTAGAGTGGAAAAACGTCCCTGCACAAATACATGGGGGCAATACATAACCTCCTGACCAAGACCTTTCACCATATGAGCATGATATTCGTCAATGTTTTCCCCAAACGTGCAGCAGACTGCCTTTCCGCTTGGTGAGACACTCCTACCTTAAATTCTCTCCTTGTCTCTCTACTATAAGGGAAATAAGGGGAGGAAAGAAGCAAGAAAGATGAAATTTCTCACTCACACTTGCTCTCGCACACACACTCCCATTTTCTCTCTGATACACACAAACACACATCAAGGCCAGTCAGGCTCAGGGTTGGTTTATCTGCAGCTTACAGTGAGTTGTTGGAGAATGCTGTGCTGCCAGTCTTCTCTCTGGTAATGTTTGCACTGTGCGTGTGATGGTGTGTGTATGACTGTGTGGATATGCGCGCAAAAAGAAAGTGAAGAGTGCCTGCGTATGTACAGTATGTGTGTTTGTGAGTGAGACCCACATAGGAAAACAAGCAGCCGTTGGTATGTGTGTGTATGTGTGTGTACACTGCAGTGGCTGTGGATTAGACAGCACAGACTAAGAGACTGAGGCCTGGGGAGTGCTGTTGCAGGAGGAATGGGACAAACACTAATGCAAAAACAGTGACGGAGCTGTGTTTTGCTGCTTTGCATCATAGCTGTTTTCTGAGTTTAACAAAATACATTGTCTGCTTCACTACTGTATATAAACATTTACAAAGAGAACAGATATGTAAGAGCATGATCGGTGAAAATGTTGTGTGTGCCGTGTTGAAAAACTTTTTGCTGCTCTTGTCATGAATCCATTTAGAAACATAAATCCGGATAAGCCCTATGTGACCTTGCAGTACCTTCACCCATGAACAGGATATCAAAACTCAACACTCTGAATTTGTCTTGGTTTTATTACATGTCTAAAGCGTGTAATCCATGTGTGTTGCAGGACTCTGCTCAGGAAGGTGTCATCACCCGGGACATCCACCGCACCTTCCCTGCACACGACTACTTCAAGGATTCTGACGGAGATGGACAGGATTCACTGTACAAGATCTGTAAGGTGAGATATGATATTGGCTCTCAGTAACATCCAGATATTTTTAATTTCACAAAATCAGCAGTGGATTATACAGTACTGTATGTTACCGCACTTTCTTTATGGCATCATGAAACAGAAGGCAAATTTCGATACACACTCTTTCATGCTGTGTTCGAACGTCTTTGAAAACTTTCCTGCTGAGAATCAAGTGCTGTGAGATGAGAAGCTAATTCTGAAATGTGTACTAAGCCTTGTAAAATTTGTGCCTATTCCTATGAAGCCAGCCTTTAGTTCTTTTTTTGCTCTTTGTGGTCTGGCAAGGCTCAGTAGGAATTTGCTTGGCATTTCAAGTTGGCTGCACAATATATGATTGACAGTGCCCGCCTTTACTGAGACATCCACACGAACCCTTCCTACACATGACATACCGGACGTACCCACCACTCAGTGGACAGTCATTGATCTTTTCTTCCAATTTTTTAAGTGGAAAATGTGGTTGCTGTTCTGTAGGTGGCAGATTTCTCTCAAATTACCCACCAAAAACGGTTTCTGAATATAAAGTTTTAGGCAAGAAATAGAACATTCAGTTGCAGAATGAGAATTGTTACTCTCTTTTTAGGTTAAATGGATTAGATTTGAACTTTTTTAGACCAAGAGGTAAATTGGTCATTCGAATGACTCAATAATCTGCTGATTAGTCGTGGTTTGCTTTTTCATGCTGATCCTGAATAGATGTCCTTGAGACTTAAATTTAGTAGCTAGTAATTTAGTTTTGGTTAGTATTAGTTGAAATACATGCCAAGCCCTCTGTACTGTCTTCAAGATACAACAATATAAAGATGTGATTTGATAGATATAAGACACTTAACTAACCCCATGTTGATGCATCCGAAACCCAGCAGAAACATAATATCAAATGTAACCATGGTATTTTAAAAACTTAAAAACATCCTTATAAACGTACACATAAAGTATTGAACAGTCTTTCCCCACTGACCTTTTGTGGGTCAGCCACGAACTCGGTACCATTTTTAAAAAAAAAAAAAAA